TTTTGGGGACCACTGGTGTACAGCAGTAATGTTTTAGGTGGCTAATGAAAATTAACTTTTCTAGAAACTGGAATCCAAGCAGTATTCAAGCAGTGAATTTCCAAGTCAAGACTTTCTTGGTTTTTGCCATGAGTAAAATTAGATTGAAAGTCATATTGGTTGAAAATGGATTTACAATTTTATGACAGGGCAGTCACATAAAGCATTGTACATGGCTTTAGTAAGTTGAGTCCATTCAAATGGAAGTGTTCTACTTGTGAGCAAATATAAATATCTAGGGATAAGCAAATGTGACTCATATCAGAAAATAAGGATACTGTATTCAGACTTGTAAGCCTAGAAAGGAATTAGATGTTTTAGTGTTCAAGTTGTTTAGTAGGAGTATGTAATACTATTTTTTGGCTACAGGTAAGTTTCTTCATTGGTAGAAAAATAGAAAGTTACTTGTAACTTTATAGTGACATTAGTGTGACAAGCATTGAATTCTGCACATAATTTGGGGAGGGGGTACTTCTTTTTAAAAAGGATTTTTGAGAATGGGACAGAAGATCTGTCAAGCGAATAGAAAGGGTTGAATAGTAATTGAAGTATATTATTGAGCAAGATACCTAAGAACATTGACTTCTTTAATTTCACAGAAAGAAGACTGGGATGTGTCTTACAGGTTCCCAGTATTTTCCTCTTACATTCTTACACCAAAGGGCTTCAATAGTTGAAGCCAGACTTATAAAAATGGAAATAAAATACATGCTCTTAATTGGTAGTAAGTGTTGGAATATCCTGTCAACAAAAGGGTGAATTCTTCATTTCCTAGAAGTGAAAGTTTCTTTGCTTTTCTAACTTACCCTATTTTTCTTAAAGATTTATGAAAAGGAATTTAAATTTATATCTCTGTTGTGGGGGAAAAAACCCAGATACTCTTTATTAATAACATGTTACTTTCTGACTTTTCATCTGGAGATCTAAAGACATGAAGAAATAATGCAAATAACAGAATGATGTTAGGTTATTGTTTTTAAGCAGAAGCAGTAAGACTATTTTGATTAAAAAACCAAAACAAACCCCCAAACTCTTAGTAATTTAAACTGTTAATATGAAATGATTTTATGAACACAGGCAATTTTAGACTTAATACTCTGTATCTGCCTTGCAGACATTAGTAACAACATGTAAAACAAATTTTGTGGTATTCTGGAGTTTTTGTCTGATTAGAAGATCGAGTGTTGTAGGTAGAATAAGTACTATTCTTGCCATGTTAAATAAAATGAAATTGATCACAGCTGAAACAGTCTCCCTGCCCTGGATGTATACTTAACAGGAGTTGCTGTGGTGCTTTTATGATATGATGTGGTAGAATAAAGGGTGTTTTTGACATCTCCTATAAACACACTTCTGAAATTGGCAATTCTGCCTACAAATCTGACAATGTCACAATACCTTTCTACAAATGTTTCCTCTTTTACTACCATGTAGTCATGCAGACATGTTCTATAAATCTAGACAAAGCCCAAAAGTCTTCTGGCTTCTGTATTTTTGAAGGGCGTTAAATATTTTAAAATGTTATAAAGAGACACAGAGCAGATGCAGTGGTAATAGAGGAGACTTAACTTCTCATGAGAATATTTTGGAGTTAATGTCTGTAAACAGAGATTCTCAGAATATGCCTCAGGCCATTGCAAGTGGTGCTCCTTTTTTTCCAAATTCCCAGTGCTTTTCTTTCTCTTTATATGCTCAGGTGTGTTTGGGGTTTTTTTTGATTTATGTTTCTGTACATCTGTTGGATAACTTAATTTGCTGCTGCAGATACATCCACATTTCCATGTGTAATTCCACCATACCAGAAAGTGGAGGCAGAAAACTTGAATTCTAGAGTTATGATATCCCCTTATGTGTACAAATATATTTTCTGATCCATTATCTGATAATTAGGGATGATACTTTTAAAATTAAAAACACTGTCTTGTACCATGTTCTGATGTTGTGTGCAGTGTGCTCTCTGCTTCTTCATTAGTAGCAATAAGCTGCTCTTGTGAAGTCTTTCTGAAATGGGTATGATTATGCATGTTAAGTATATTAGTATAGATATGGGTATGATTATGCATATGTAAAAAATAGATGGAAACTCTAGTCTTCAGAAAATTGAACAATTAAACTGGATTTTTAGGGGCTTTCATTATTCTCACTTGTAGGAAAAGAGATTAGTGAAAATGTTCCTAAAAATGCTGCATTCGTTTGCTTTTGGTTTTGCTAAAACATTAAGGTGTGGTTGTCTTTTTTTTTTTTTTCCCCAAAGCTGTAGGGGACACAATTAAAAATCTGTTCCCTCAGTGTAAGTAGCGCTGTAGTAAGGTATGAAAAACTCAAGACTTGATGTACCTCAAAAAACACACAGAGTTAGGGATGTTTTCATTTTTAAACTTACATTTGATCTGCAGAGAAGGAAGGCGAAATCCAGTGTTTCATTAGGGTATTCTGAAATAGATTTTGTGCTTCTATATAGTACAGTATTGTAACGATGAACACTGTAGAAAAAAGTTCACATGAAAGGAAAAACATGTTTTCAGAGTATTGACTATTTAGACTAAATGACACACACAGGATACATACTGAAGAGCAAAAAAAAATCCAGAATAACTAGCTTTAAGTGAACAAAATTTATTCTGCTGAATGAGGAAGAGGTCCTGTGCATATAAGGAAGTGCAAGATGGATAGAGGCAATGATATCAAGTTATTTTTAATTATATAGTCACACAATGGATATGTACAAAAAGGTGAAAGTAAAATTGGATCATATGGCTTTAAATATTGATATTTTTTTAACTTCTGGATTGCCTGGCTTCTTAAGGCAGGTGTTTATATAAAGCTATAAGGTCCAGAAATGCAGAATATTTTCGTATTAATTTTTGGAATATATGTGCTGTTCATTGTATTGATAAGGTATATGATTATATATGCAGATGAAGATAGAACGTAGCATTGTTTCTAGCGTAATTGTAAATGCAGTGCTTGAGAATATTAAAGAACGTTCCCAGTCTTCTGATGCCTGCATTTATCTTGTCAAATATTCTTTCAGGAAGCACTTTCTAATGAAGTGGGTGATCTTATCTGCATTGCTAACTTAAACTGAAAGTTGGTTATGTCTCTACTAAAGGTTTAGATACCTTTAACTCATTTGTTAAACATATTTAACTGATTCTCCTGCTGTGCCGGGGAAGCCTTATTATATGGACATGCTTATTATGCTTCTGTTCAGGGAAAAGAACAGAAGTAATTTTTTCAGGTAACTTGTAGTTTTGCTAGTCTAAGTTGTGCACATGAGGAGACCTTTGTTCAATGATTCTGGTAACAGACTAGATAGTAAGGGAATCTTCTCAGTGCAATGCATGTGACTTTCAGCCCTAGTTTTCAAGACATTATGGCCTCGGTATCGCCAGCTGTCTGAGGAAACGTGTAATTTAAGGATGTGTTCCTGTCAGGGTTTCTGGAATGCTGCCATAGAAAACCCAACAAAAATAAATTTTTCGACACAATAGTACTGTCTTTGTTTTTTATAGTTTTTATGAACAGCAAATTAACATATTCTTCAGGTATTTTGTGTTGGAGAATATAACGCTTATTTTACATCAGGAAAAATGTTAAACTTAGAAATAAGACATCAGAGTGACAGTTCACATTTTAGACTCCATGCAAGATTTGAAAACAAATGTAGCTTTAATGCTAAATTTGCCTTTCACCCTCCTAGGTAGATGTATTTTATATCTGTTTACAGAGTATTTAAGAGATTGTTACCTGAGTATACAGTGGGATATCTTTGCTCCCATATATTGTGTTTGGAAACAATGTGTGTTTTGTTCTGAACTTAATTTTTATTTTAATAGTTTTCTAAGTAAAAAAACCCCACACAACTAAAGCTGAAAAATGTGTGGTTTTAGTATAAAATTTTAAATGTGAAATTGTGTTTTATTCAAAGATCTTTTTCTTCTAAATCATTTTAATGATATGACAGTAAGAACAGAATTTAATGGATTCTTTCTGGATATCAGTTTTTGAAAGAATTTAAGAAGTTAAGAGTGGTGTCTGGTGTGATACTTCAGAAGTGAAATCAGGGAGAATCTTTATCATAGGTACCCTTTGAGACTTCTAAAAATTCCCTTTGTCATCTGTTCTTAGGATTACATTAAAAAAATCCCTGTCCTTCATATGGTTTGAATTAAGAAATCTCAATCTACTATACATTTTACTATAAATCTAGATTAAAAAACCTCTGAACTTCCACTCTGTAGTGTTTAGATTTTTAATGGACTAACTCACATTTAAGAAAAATGTTTTCTTTTATGTACTATCTAAACAGAAACAAAAAATAATGGAGGAAGAGAAGACAGGAGAAGCCTTCCAGTGCAAATTTAAGTAGAAAATGCTTGTATTTGGAAAAAAATTAATACTAACAAGTGATGACTATAACAATTTGTCATCTATGGTATTTTTATTTTGATGATGCATCTAAAACTTGACTTAATGTCTCATTAAACTTGAGGATTCATTACTCTCTTAGATTTTTACATGATTTCTATAGATAATAAGGTGGTTTTATTCCTGAATGTAGGTTTGTCATAGCCTTAATTTAAAAAGATTAATTTAAATGCCTATTTTTTTTTTAAAAGGAGCTTATTTAAGCCTCTCTTCATACCTTTTTAAAATCCTGTTTCAATTTACTGTTACAAAACCTAACAGATAGGTTCTGACTTTTATTTTTTATAAAAAGCTTTAAATCTTTCACAATTCAAATATGTAATATTCATAAAATATTTAATGAAACTGGTACTACCTTCATTACTCCTGTTGTATCTTTTACCTGTAGTTTTTATGAGGTTTTATTGTTGCTTTTGTGTGAAAAATGTATTTTTAACTTCAGATCAACTTGAAATCAGGTAGGAATTTTATTGGTATGTTCATTAATCTTATTTAATCCCTTATAATTACTTTGTATCTTCATTTTACAGATGGAATACCTCAGGTTTACTATTTTGGCCCATGTGGCAAATATAATGCTATGGTGCTAGAACTACTTGGACCTAGTCTGGAAGATTTATTTGACTTGTGTGGTAGGACATTTTCTCTTAAAACCGTTCTTATGATAGCCATACAGTTGGTAAGTAGAATAGATGTTAATTTGAGTGTTCATTAGAATAACTAAGTCAATTTTCAGTGGATTAAATGCTTACTTCACTTAAGAGATTTGCACTTCCCATGTTTTAAATTGGTGTTGGTGGCTTCTAAAGAGCCTGTGATACAGTTTTATTAGGAAGGCTGTCTTATGTCACTTTCATTTACTTTGTTCTAGTTTTTCAGGAATCATTGCATGAATATCGTTTCATTGTGTCTTCTGAGTTCTCATAATCACAACCTGAAATCATGAATTTTAGTTTGACATACTCAATTAAAAAGAAAACCTTCGTGAAATAAAAATAATTTTAATCCACAAAAGCAGCTGGATGATGGGACTCCTAAATAGCATAAATATTTTTCGTGGGCATTCTCAGAAAGAAAGAAAGCAAACAAACAAAAAATCCTCCAAACCCTTCCAGAAATACTAAAATAGCACAAGATTATTCAATGAAGGATTTTTCCCTTTTTTTGAAGATTTCCTGTTTTGGCTCCTACTTGAGGGTGGGTGGAAGTGGAAAGAGAGAGAAAGTGAAATAAGGCTTTGCATGTTTACCTTGATACAATGTATTTTAAATAAGTCCTTATGAAATATTAATGATACTGAACCTCCACTTCCCTAAATAAGTAGTGATATTTTTACCCATGAAGGGTAAAAATAGCTGTTTAAAACACAACTGTAATTGGGTAAGAGGCCTGCAACTATAGACACGTAGACATATTCAGCTTATTTACAGCCAAAATGACAAAGTTACAGAATCATAGAATAGTTTGGGTTGGAAGGCACCTCTAAAGGTCATCTAGTCCAACTCCCCTGCCGTGGGCAGGGACATCTTCAACTAGATCAGGTTGCTCAGAGCCCCGTCCAACCTGACCTTGAATGTTTCCAGGGATGGGGCATCCACCACCTCTCTGGGCAACCTGTGCCGGTATTTCACCACCCTCAGCGTAAAAAATTTATTCCTTATATCTAGTCTATCTGTATCTACCCTCTTTTAGTTTAAAGGCATTCCCCCTTGTACTGTCATTCCCGCTGTCACAACAGGCCCTGCTGAAAAATTTGCCGCCATCTAAGTTCATCTTGTAAAATGCTCAAATCATCACGGATCCAAAGATCATCTTTGTTTAATACTTGCTGTTCTTTTCTGAATATACAAATTTTAATAGAAAGCATTCCAGCTAGAATGGCGGTCATATACATATTGGTGAACTTTCAGTGCTTCTCTCATTTATACCTTTAATATGTGATAGATCTACATGGACCTTTGTTGCTCGTTGTTTGATGACATAATTTCTGGTTATAGTTTTAATGTGCACAGAACATACTTGGTGCCAGCTGTTCTTAAAAAAGATAACTTCTGTTATATACTGATTCATGTCTAAAGTCCAGTGTGGAAGTTTCCAATACATGATGTGGTGTATCTACTTAGGGGATGTGTACAATTTCCATTTACTTTAACTGGGAGATACCTTGTTAAAAGCAATAGCCTTTTGGTTTTAAGGTGATAGAAGGGTTGATTTCCTCTAAACATAAAGTCAATGTAGGATATTTAGCTTCTACCGCAATTTAGTGTGGCAACCTGAAGCTTAAACTAAACTTTCTATCGTTTTTTTCCTTTTATTAAAGATTTCTCGTATGGAATATGTCCATTCAAAGAACTTGATATACAGAGATGTAAAACCTGAGAACTTCTTAATAGGACGACCTGGAAACAAAACCCAGCAAATTATTCATATTATAGATTTTGGTTTGGCAAAGGAGTATATAGATGCAGAAACGAAGAAGCACATACCATATCGAGAACACAAGAGCCTTACAGGAACAGCTAGATACATGAGTATAAATACACATTTAGGAAAAGGTACGTGTGCTTTTTAAGTGCAGAAACAAGAATTCAACAGCTGTCATTCGACTGAAATCATCTTGTTTTCAAGTTGTAATTTTTCTCAGTCTGTAGTCATTAAGAACTGCAAGTTTTGGGTACTGTGCAAAATTATAGTTTGTCCTTATGGAAGTACTGTTTATGGGAATAAGGTTCTCTGGGTCTCTACTCATCATGGTCATGTCTCAGCAAATAATTGTTTCTGTTACGATATCCATAAAAGCAAGATGAGGTGTATCTTTTTGTATCATAACATCTTCACATTACAAGTATGCCATGGTGAGGTGGGGTGGGCGGGAAGTAGATATGCTTATTAAAGATATCAAAGTGAATAGCTTCCAACAACATAGGTTTTCAATGCTACCTTGCCAGTTTTTTGATCCCTTTGAAATGCACCATGTAGTAGAATAAAAGTAGTTTATATTTGATGTTGATTTCTTGATTTTTTTTTATGCTTATATTGTTAATGAGGCTTTGTCAGAGTAGTTAAAGGTTATGCTAGTGCTGTAAATATGATGAGCTAAAGAAATGACAGGATATATAGCGAGAGGTAAGTTGTTGTTATTGAATGAATAAATTTAGCTGGAAAAAGGTGCATGAGCACTCAAAGCAGTCTTTGTTTATTCCAGTTATATAGAGGTTTTCTAGTAAAAACAAATCTGACACCTTTGAATTTGTGTAAACCAGTTGCATATTATTGCCTGGTAGTCACTAATTAGGTTGCTTTTCAAATTGGTCATTAAAAATGTTGCACAATGCTTATAGTTCAAAGGTACTTCATGTTAATACGGCAAATGAGAAACCATTCACATTTTCCAGATAGTAATAAGGTGTTTTATCAATAAAATCAGACCATAGTAGCTTGTGCTTAGCAGCTGTAGCTGATGAAATGATGTTAACATGTAGAATTGTAGAATCATTTAGGTTGGAAAAGACCCTCAAGGTCATTGAGTCCAACCGTAAACCTAACACTGCCAACTCCACCACTAAACCATGTCCCTAAGCACCACATCTACACGTCTTTTGAATACCTCCAGGGATGGCGACTCAAACAATTCCCTGGGCAGCCTGTTCCAGTGTTTGACCATCCTCACATACTAAACAACCCCTTCCCTCATCCGATCCTCATAAGACTTGTGCTCTAGACCCTTCACCAGCTTTGTTGCTGCTCTTTGATGACAAATCTGTCATGACTCCAAGTCTTGTCATCATTGTTGTCAGTGGGTTTTGAAATTCTTGATAAGAAGTGGTATCTTAACTAAAACAGTATAATAGCATATTCCAGGTAATTTAAATATAATGACAGACCTCCCATGCCACTTACCTATCCAAAAATGCCTTGTATATGAAGCTGGTTTTAACTCTGTATGCATTCACATAGTAAAAGGATGTGTAAAAAGTAACTGAACTAATGTAAACTTGCCATGTTTGCTAGATTTATTATTCTTCACCAGGTAAAGACTGAAACTGCATTGTTGTTAAGCCATATTAGAGCCAAAGAGCTTTAAGATTAGATTAAATGATATTTCATTTAAAGAATAATAGTATAAAATACTAGTATTTTCTGATAGTGTCATGAATATTTAACACTGGGAACACTTTTAAAAACTTGATAGCAAGGTTTGAGCTTCCTAAACAAAACTTTTAAAAAAGAAATTCCTCAAGTAAAGGAAGCATTCACTTTATTTTTCAGGCATGGTATGTGAAGTTGGTGTCAGCTTAAGGTGATAACAACCAATTTTAAAATCAAATAGTTTAAAATCAAGCTTTTTTAGTTGTTCTTAAATAAGAGACCCCCCATATCATTTAAGAAAATAAACCAAAACATAAAACTGGCAATTATTTGAAGAACATAACTGAATTTTGAGGGGATTGCATGTCTGAGATTAACACAGGAACATAGTAAATGACACTTCCTCCTTCAAGGGAGACTTTTCCACTCCTTAGGTAGAATCTTGATCTCTGGTTGGACAGGCTTATTTTTGTCTAATGGTAAGTTGTTTATTACGTATGAAAGTTCTGCCAAATTTAACTTGTGTAGTTCTGTACCCTTCAGCCTGATGCAAAGCTGGGAGGAAGAGGAGATAGGTATATACTGGCTCCTCTGGCAAAGGTAGCTCTGATAAAGCTAATACTCTTTTCAGTAGCTTGTCTCACTTTACTGTAGTAAGTCTCCTCACAGGAGATTCTCAAATTGTTGTGGTTTAATCTTAGGCGGCAACTGAGCACCACACAGCTGCTCGCTCACTCT